TTAGTTATAGCTTTACAGTGATCTTGAAGAGAGGTAATTTCAGGAAATATATAGGTAGATGGTAGGAGTTGTTTGCAAGGGTAAATATTTTACTTAATCAATCTTTTATTTCTTCAAAACTCTAGTTAATTATTATTTATTATAATTCTCTTTTTTTATCGAATAGTTGGATGGCTTCACCGGGTCATAAAGCCAATATTATGAATCCTTCCTTCAAACAAGCCGGTTTTGGTAGATGTGGTAGTTATTGGACACAAGACTTCGGTGCTGGTAGTGGTGGTAGTAATAGTGGTGGCAAGGCTCAAGCTCCCGCCAAAGGCAACAAAAGTGCCACTGTTGCTAGCTCTCCCGCCAAAGGCAACAAAAGTGCCACTGTTGCTAGCTCTCCCGCCAAAGGCAACAAAATTGCCGCTGTTGCTGGCTCTAAATCGAATTCTCTGAATGGCAAAAAAATTATTGTTGTCCCCTCAAAAAAAAATAGTAAGAGGAATCGGTTAGAAAATGACTACTAATTAATGCATTTCCCCTAATTTAATTCGTAACCTAATTTTAATAATGCCCAAATTTATATATATATATACATAATTAATTTTTATACCCTCGAAATTTGAGCATCTTAGAATTTAAATTTCGAAAAGTTTGATAATGCAATTTAGAAATTCAAGTTGTTAAACTTTTATATGTATACTGTTTAAGACGACCTTAAGTTATATTATTCCAGAGTATTTAGAATAATAAACTTGTATAAACATTTAATTTGATAAATTATTTTAATATACTTGTTTGTAATTATAAATCGCAGTTTTTATTTTTAATTCAATAAGTTAACAGTTGCTAATTCTGTTAGATTAATTACTTAAGCTTTGGATATTGCAAATATCTAATAGATAATATAATTTTTTTTTTTTTTTTTTACAAAGACGAATAATTGTGAAGTTGATTTATTGAAATAGTGTATAGCTTTGTAATTCTTAAAAATTCTAGTAAAACAATATATTGTTTTAATACGAATTAAATCCGGCTTTGTCAGTATCGAAACTTTAATTTTTTTAAATATACCGGCCAATAAGATCTTTTATTCTAATCATGTGATCAATGCACTATTCCCGGTATCCTTTAAATCGAATGGATGATCGACACGAATATTACACATGCACATGTTCTACAGTACTTATTGGCGTAACGTTTCTAAGTTACAATGCAAAAATTAATTTCATGAAATAATGCTAATATATGTTAATAAATTTATTACACGGGCCTTATGTAACAACCAGTGCAGTGTCAATTTTCAATTAAAAATTTACTTGTGCGGCAAATAAAGAAACAAAAACTACAAAGAAACTATTTGCAACTGTGCGCACTACTTGGTAAAATATCAAAAAAAAAAAAGAAATCTGGCAATTTTTTTTTTTTTTTTTTGTGTGCACGCACACAGTTTTCACAGTGAAAAGACCAGGCTTACCGAAAAATTAATTGCAATTAATTTTTGTTATACGTCATACAAACAAAATTATCATGAAATTAAATAATTGTAATAATTGCAATTAAATTCAATTTTCTTTCACTATACCATGTAGAGCATACAGCACCCGGTGTGACCCGATTTTTAAATAGAGAAAAATTAAAAAATCTTATGTATTTACAATCTTGGCTGTGGCTATTGTATGAGTGACGCCAAGGGAAAAGGGAACATTCGTTTTTATTGATTATTATCTGATGATCGACAAAATCATCGGCTTTCACTAGGACGAAAATTTCAAGGGCTAGTTTATCATAATTGAAAGCCCGATGTGTTGTCGATCATCAGATAAATAATTTTCCATTGGCGTCACTCATATAATTGAGTTTAAAAAATTGTGGAAAAATTTCGGTTGAATAAAATTATTTCTAATATATATATATATAAATTAGCTATTTTAGCAAATTTTTTTTTTTTTTTTTTTTTTTTTTTTTTTTTTTAAGTGAGGTCTTTTCCTCAGTTCCTTTATTATTCATTATGCAGAT